AGAGAGAGAGAGAGAGAGAGAGAGAGAGAGAGAGAGAGAGAGAGATGGACGGCGTGGGAGGGAGACAGAGAAAGAGAGGTGTGGGTCTTGACGCAAATAAATATGTCAACGTCTCGGTAGTAAGTACGTTGCCGTTGCCGTTTTCGTAGTAAATTCGTGCAGCTGCCGAGAGAAGGCTGTGCAAACATGTTTTTACACCAAAATCATCGGAGATCAGAACAGTTCTTGGGCCTGACCACCTGAACTGCCGACTACATCAAAATGATGTGAGCCCCACGATTCCCATGCCTAACTACATACCAGCAGCTCCTGGGACTCCACCTCACTACATTCCAGCTCCCGGGATCTTGCAATCAGAAGAACACTCACAGCAGCACCTCAGAGGGGAGAGCCCCCGCACCTACCGAACCAGCGAAGGATGATCTCCTGCTGATCCTTGCTGCTGAGGATTCCGAACCCGAGGATGTGCCGCTGGATGTCCGCCTCACAGCCGTCTTGACGCTTGCCAGGCGTACGAGCTGGACAGACACCATCCCTCAGGGGGGTTCCTGCACAACAACGCAGTCAGCGCACAGCGTAGTGTGGCGAACACGGAGCGTGGGCGTTGGGCTTGAGTTGTTGAAGGCGACTCAATTGGTTCTCGAGGCGTTCGATGAAAAAACAAGCCAGAGGATACCCGCCCACGCTCCTGCAGCAGCTGCAGAGTACAATTGGAGGTGGATGCAGAGTAGAGTGCGGCCTTCACGCGGTCTCTCACCCCACACCGAGACACAAGAGGCAATAGATTTACTGTGGGCTCCTATTTTTGCCCGAGTACTTTCGTACGGAGCAGTGGTTTTGGTGGTGTGGTGGTGCGGTGGTGCGGGAGGAGTAGGGGGGTTTACGTGGATGAGAGGCCGTCACTGCTGGTGGTGTTGTGCCAAACCGTTCGGCCAAACTCCCGATCAATCGAGAACAAGCCGGAAGAGACACTGCTGTGAGACTGAAACACCCTGTAAGATTGAAACACTTTGTGCAAGCCAGACAATATCAGGATCATCTGCTGTTGTCCAGCGCGCTCACGTTCGTTACCCTATCGCCCGAAACTCACCAAGGTATGTAGACTATGTGTTGTGCGCCGCAACCCGCCGAAACCGGCCTGCATGGAGAGTGCTGTGCAGGACCATCGACCGAGGTTGATTGCCGCGCCAACGGTGTTCGAACCTACAATGTGCTATGGCGTCCAGCAAAAACACCAGCTGTAGTGTGTCCGAGCATGGCAATTTTCCAAGCGGTCCCGTCGTGCGACACATTTCTTGGTATGCGATGAACATGTCCGCCTTGGCCTGCGCCTGGTCGGCTCTCGAATGAAAGATTGGGTTGGGTTCGGGGATGATGAGCATACATCTTACCCGTCGGATCCATCTCGATCCGCATCCACCGTCCACCACTCTGTTCGTGAGGTGGATTATGCCATCCTTACGAAGGCTACTGTGGTGATACTCATGTGTGGTTTTGAGCTCGATGCAATTGCGCAAGAAGTGGCTGTTACTCGTTCTTGGATCTTCGGGGTATCTCCGATCATATCTTTGACAGGTTGTCACGTGTTCCGCTGTCGCGTGTTCCGAGTTCCGAATGCGTCTTTACTATGAGGAATTTCTTGCGACTGTTGTACGAGTGCCTCGATGTTTGTGATGCATCCTGGTTCTCACTCTCTTTCGTGGGTTGTGTCCACGAAGGCAACCAATAAAACGTCTTAACCATCTCTCCACGTTTGTCAACCGGGTCAGCCGTGCTAATCCAGCAGCACTAGGCTTGGGGCCGATCAACACTCTAGAGCCGGTCCGACCCATAAGGAGCTACGGACAGCCATCGATGACGCCGTCGGCGACGCCAGCACCAGACTGGAAAGGATGGTTGAAGAGAAATTGGAGGGTATCATGGACTCCTTGTCCCGATTAGTGCCCGGGGCACCGCCTGCCGGGAGTACGACCGCGGCGAGCGGCGGAGGAGAGTCATCGGGAGGGGCGCACACCCTTCCGGGCGCTGGGTTTTCGACGGAGCACGCGCCAAGTACCAGGCGGGGACCCGAGGGAGCGAGAGGACTGCTAGGCCCAGCGCCACGAGAGCACACGCCATCCGAGGGAGGCACCTCGCGAGAAGGCGCCCACAGCGAGCAGGCCGATTGGTATGCCACTCACACGCCCGGATCCCGCGCCTGAATCAACTGAGCTTTGATGGCCATGAGAAGAACTGACTCATGTTCAAAAACGAGTTAACTACGCAGGTCCAAACATGCGGAACGGATCGTGCCTTGAATGATAGCAGGGACATTGTGGTACAAGGTGTAGATGATGACGGTATGGTAAGGCAGGGAGTGAGGAGAGAGGAGATTGCCGTGTACCGAGATCTGTGGGTATTGCTGACCGAAGCGATCTCAGAATGTGCGACCAAGATTATGGTGTTTGGTTGCAAAGGACCCTCAGCAGCGTGGCGTGCGTTGGAAGAGACATTTTCTCCGTTGACAGGCGGCGAGAAAATATCACTGATGGCAAANTCTTCAACCATCCTTTCCAGTCTGGTGCTGGCGTCGCCGACGGCGTCATCGATGGCTGTCCGTAGCTCATGGGTCGGACCGGCCCCGCCTCCGCCAGAGTTACCCGATTCTTGCGAAGACATGTGTGTCCTAGACTATGGCGTTAAAAGCCCAAAACTCTAGAGTGTCGGACACACATGTCTTCGCAATTATCGGGTAACTCTGGCGGAGGCGGGGCCGGTCCGACCCATGAGCTACGGACAGCCATCGATGACGCCGTCGGCGACGCCAGCACCAGACTGGAAAGGATGGTTGAAGAGAAATTGGAGGGTATCATGGACTCCTTGTCCCGATTAGTGCCCGGGGCACCGCCCGCCGGGAGTACGACCGCGGCGAGCGGCGGAGGAGAGTCATCGGGAGGGGCGCACACCCTTCCGGGCGCTGGGTTTTCGACGGAGCACGCGCCAAGTACCGGACGGGGACTCGAGGGAGCGAGAGGACTGCTAGGCCCAGCGCCACGAGCGCACACGCCATCCGAGGGAGGTACCTCGCGAGAAGGCGCCCACAGCGAGCAGGCCGCATGCTATGCCACATACTCACACGCCCGGATCCCGCGCCTGAAACAACTGAGCTTTGATGGCCATGAGAAGAACTGACTCATGTTCAAAAACGAGTTAACTACGCAGGTCCAAACATGCGGAACGGATCGTGCCTTGAATGATAGCAGGGACATTGTGGTACAAGGTGTAGATGATGACGGTATGGTAAGGCAGGGAGTGAGGAGAGAGGAGATTGCCGTGTACCGAGATCTGTGGGTATTGCTGACCGAAGCGATCTCAGAATATGCGACCAAGATTATGGTGTTTGGTTGCAAAGGACCCTCAGCAGCGTGGCGTGCGTTGGAAGAGACATTTTCTCCGTTGACAGGCGGCGAGAAAATATCACTGATGGCAAAGTTTTTCGACGCCCAATAGGGGAAGAACCAGGATCCACGAGTGTTCTATCAGGAGTTCAAGTCCATGGTGACCAGCCTAGAGTTGGCATTTGAACAACCCATCCCAAAGATGCTCGTTTATGCGCGATTCCTCGACGCGCTTTCACCGGAATTCGAAGTTCAAAAGCAACAGTCGCTCACCCAGAAAACACTCGATGAAGGAGAGATTTTCAGAGTATTGCGTACACGGGCTGGGCAACTGAAGGTGGAGGTGACGAAGGGGAAGAGTGAACGGCGAACGCACCAGGCGTTTGTAGCAGTAGGGGGGAGGGGAGAGGGAAGAGACGGTTGAAACAAACCAGAGGGGACGAAGAGGCGTACCTGGCCAACGATAAGAAGTCAGTCAGGTGCTACATTTGCGATGGGGACCACTTTGCAAGAGCATGCCCAGAGAAGCTTTGCCAGAGGTGCGGGAAAAAGGGGCACAACGCAAAGAACTGCCAATCGAAATCTACGGACGAGACTGCCGTCACCGCAGTCGAGTTGGACGTAGCATACAAAGCACTCTGATGATATCTTGATCTGTTTTTCCCCGTGGTGCCTCAACGTCCCTCCCCTTGCGTGCGTTGCTTGCGAATCGGCTTTTCGGCATTTTCCTTTTGCGACTGTTGAAATTACAATCATGGAGGATTTTTTTCTTGTGTGTTATTTTCCGATTCACTCTCTGTTTTCCTTGTGTTTTGATCGGGATAAGAACGCAGTCCACGAAGAAACTCGATGTTGCTCATCCGGTATATCATGCTCATCTCAGCAACTAGTTGCGCAGATCGAAACATCCGGCTTCGCGCTCGATGAAATACTGAAGATGGTGTGGTATTCCGTTGTTGTCTCATTTTGAGGACTGGTGATCCGCGGGGCACCGCGATCACACCAATTTGATTGACGATGTTTAGAATTATTTTCTCATCCTTTGTTTTTCCGACTTGTGGCCGGGTTATTTGCCTGAAATCAGGAAGGGCTGAGGTATGACCCTGTTAGACGTACTCACAGTATCGACAGATTATTGCAAGCAAGAAATTTCCCAGCAGATGGAGCGGGGAGTTTGGGGGTTCAGCAGTTGCTTTGGATTCGATTTGATGGTACCAACTTTGCCGTATATTACAGGATTGAGGGTGGGGGTATGTGTGTGTCCACAACGGATATGGTGATTGTGCGTTGTGGTTTCTCACTTGTTTTTGTTTCCTCTTTTTCCTCCTTCCTCTGTGCAATCAAGTCCTTTTTCCCCGGCTATCACGCCACGACTTCCACGCCAATCCTGGCTATCACGCCGCTCGGCTATCACGCCTTCCGGACATCCACGTCCTTACTTATACATATACACCACGACTATCACGTCACCAGGCTTCCACGCCACATCCAGAGATATCATACCCGAGCTATCACGCTCCATCCCAAAGTAGAAGGCTGTCACGCCCATCATAGTTGCTACACTGTACCGTTGGCGGCTACCGCGCCGCTGGCTCTTTTATTTCCCAACCGCCGCGCGCCAAGGCACCGACGCACAAAGCTACTCAACACGCTAGCGTAACGATCAAGAGAGTGGCCGCCGTGCCTAAGCGCGCAACATGCCGGACGGAGACGGACGACAGCCTCCGGGGGGATCAGGTCAGGCTGTCCCTCCCCCCGGGGAAGGCGTCGCGGACGGAGGAGGGAGCGATTCTTTCTTCGTCAACGATGCACGAGACCGAGTGGGTGCGCGAGCGGCAGGAGGGGAAGATCAGCGCGACACGATGCGTGAGCTGGTTGACCTCTTCAAGCAGGCCTTCGCGACATCAACTCATGACCAGGGGCACCGTGCCCACTCAGGTTCTTCTAACAACCAGATCTTAGAACTGAGGCAGAGAGAAAAGATAAATGTACCAGTATGGAGTGATGAGTACCTGAAGAACACATCGATCGAAGTTGCATTGCGAGTGTTCACGAGTGCTTTTGAAGCGTGGCTGGAGAGTGAGGGACTTGCTGGTGTGATGAGGAGTTCAGAGGTCCCTGTTGGTGCAGCTGGTGTGGATTTGAATTGGTTGAGCAGCACGTTCGGAGAGGAGAGAGTGAAGCAATCCAGGAAGATTTGGACGTTTATGCTAGCTAAGATCACAGCACAACCCGTACAAGCCCAAATCTTGGCATCAGAACCACCTCAAGCAGGGTACCGCGTGTTTCTCGAACAATACAGCCAGGAAAAGAGTCACGAGCGACAAACTCTTGACGACGCATGGAACTTAATAGGCCAGAGGCAAGGAGAGAGTCTTAAGGACTACTACGGTAGGGCAGTTGCGCTGTGGATGAGACTTCGATCGTATGGTGATAACAGGGATGAAAAGTCCATGTGCAAGCACATAGTCCGGGGATTTCTCCCAAGGTTTGATAAAACTAAAGACCGTCTTCTGTTTGATTCGATGTTGTCGAGGGCTACAATGCAGGAGATGCTGAGGTTGGAAGAGCACGAGCTGAGGTACGAGCGGAGAGCTGGAGAGGGGAAGGAAGAGATGAGGCACGCCCTCGTCGCTGCCGGCGTGGGCCGGGGTGGCGAGGCGGGGAAACCAGCCGCTGCAGGATCGGAGCAAGGCGGACATCGACTCCAGCAGCCACAAAGGTCGGTGCAGCCACATCAGCAGCAACCATCGCACTTCTGCCAGCTCCACGGCCCCAACAGCACCCACGAGACCTCCGAATGTCACAAGTTACGCAACGAAATCCTCGCCCACTACAACGAGTTCTGCGCGTACATGAGCGGGAGGCGGGAGGCCCAGGCATTGGTCTTCCCTCGAGGCGGAGCCCAAGACTCGGGGCGGATGGTTGGTGACCCATATCGACAGCAGCCGTACCAAAACGAGCAAGGTGCGGGCTGGAGTCGGGGCCACTCTCCAGCGCTGCCGGGACCGCCGCGTGGGCAAGGATCCGGAACTGGAGGACAGCTGCAGGGGCGCAACTCTGGGGGGCGTGGGTACGGTGGATACGCTTCCTTGGCGGTCTGGGCCTGTGTTGTTCCAGACGCCGCCATGGGGCACGCCGTGCTTCTGGGTCGTGATAGCTGGATGCGCTTCAACTCTCGCACCTTCACCACCCTCCCCCAACCTGGACCGGACGGCCGGGATATGGGCGAGCTCACGCTCTCTCCGCGTTTTACAGCTGGCGCTTGCGGTTACGCTACACACGACGACGCTCCTGCCTCCTTGTTTCACCTTAAATATGCAGGGAGCTCGGGAATTTCGTTGGGGCCGGAGCCTGCACTCGTTGAGGTGGACCTCGTTCGTTCTTCTGGCATGCCTGCGCTGATTGGAGAGTATCTGGTATCGTTCAAACCTGAAGTGGGTGCGCTTTCGTCCCCAGATGCGTTCGTTTCCAATGGTCTCCAGGGTATTCCCCTTGCAGGTTGTGCCGAGCTCGAGCCGGGGGACGTTATTGGAGTGTCTGCCGCGCCGCTACTACGAGTATCAGTGGAAAACCTGAAGGCGACACCATGTTCGATTCCTACCGGCCCCCCAACATCTACATCACCACCTCGGGTCGACGCCGTTGGCCCCAAGTCCGGGACTCACCGCTCTCCGGACCCAGCCTCCGCCCCGCCTCCTCCGAAGCCGCCTCCACAAGAACTACTTGACCGCTTCTCTGAGGCACAGAGCTCCGGGTTCATGCGCTTGTGGGCTAGGCTGCCCGCACATATGCACGACATCGCTTTCGATCTACACAATCCGGGATGGACACCGGAGGCTATTGATCGTTTGGCCGACGCCCTTGTGGAGTATTCTGACGTGTTCTCTACTTCGAAAACCGATTTTGGTTCCTGCACCATCATGCCATTCACGCTTTCTTTCCCAGCAGGGACGAAGCCCGTTGCATCACGCCCGTATCGTATCAACCCGTTGATGCAAAAGAACGTGGATGCCGTTTTGGACCAGTATTTGGCGGCAGGGCTCATTCAACATTCCACATCTCCGTGGGCTTCTCCTTTAGTTGCCATCCCCAAGAAGGACGGATCTGTTCGCATCACCGTCAACTACAAACGTCTCAAAGCTCTGGTGGATTTGGATGGACAACCTCTCCCTCGAGTGGACGGTATCTTGGATTCTCTGTACACCGGGAAAGTGTTCTCCATCTTCGACCTCAACTCGGCTTTCCACCAGATCGTTTGTGATGAAGACACTGTCCCGCTCACCGCCTTTTGCACTCCCACGCAGTTGTTCGAATGGCTTCGGATGCCGCAGGGCGCCAACGCAAGTCCGTCTTGGTTCGTCAAGGTCATCAACAGAGTGGTGCACGGTCTGGAGCGTGTGCTGGCTTATCTGGACGATGTCATCTGTTTCGATGAGGAACCTCTGGGACACGTGCTAAACTTGATCGAGTTCTTCAAACGACTGCGACAGTACAACCTCAAACTGTCTGCAGGGAAGGCTCGCGTCGGCGCCACGCACGCCAACTTTCTCGGTCACACCATCTCTCCGGCAGGTGTTAGCCCTGATGGCGTCAAGGTTAGGGCGCTCACGCACATGCCGCCGCCGACGAATGTTAAGCAGCTTCGGAGCCTTCTCGGTGGACTCAGTTACTACCGGAAATTCCTCAAGAATCTCGCCACCAAGGTGCGGCCTCTCAACTCTCTTCTCAAACAAGGCGTCCCCTTCAAGTACACCCCGGGCATGGTCATGGTTGTCAAAACGTTGTTAAGCGAACTCGCTCGCCCCCCGATTTTGGTCTTCCCGGATTGGGCAGCAATCGAGGACAACAGCCGTCCTTTTCGTTTGTGTTCCGACGCGTGTATCGACGGTTTTGGCGCCTCCTTAGAACAAGAACAGCTCAATGGCTCGGTGAGACCCATCGTGTACATCAGCCGCGCTACTCTTCCTGCGGAGCGTAACTGGACCGTTTTGGATCTGGAGGCTGGTGGCATTGTTTGGGCCATCAAACGCCTTCGCGGTTATCTGTGGTTGACCAAGTTCATCATCTATTCGGACCACAAAGCCTTGGAGAGCATTGGCAAGGTTGGGGAACACAACGCTAGGGTGCAACGATGGCTCGAATTCCTGTCCAACTTCACCTACACCCTGAAATACCGGAAAGGTTCGGCAAACGGCAACGCGGATAATATTTCGCGATTGCCTGTACCAGCACAAGACACGGACAAAACCGGCCTCGACTGCATTGATGGTGTCGATCAAGCGGGTGTTTTCCTCATTTGGGCTTGCGGGCGCAACTATCACTCGTCGTCTACACCGGAAGTCGGTTTGGGTGGGCTCCGCCCTCCTTGAACGGCAGGAGTCTCTTCACCCCCAGCGTTGCAGCCATCCGATTTTGGGGATTTTCGCCGACATCACCCGCGTCGGTTGGATGCTCTGACGGACTCAACGATTGCCTGCGAGAATTCTCGGCGGTATAGTTCTTGGTATAGCTGACAGATGTACATTGTCCACAATAATTTTTGGAAGCAGGCATGGGGGGGGGGGGCACAACCGACAGCATACCCGCAGGTCGTACAATACGTCAGAGACGAGGACAAGCTACGCACCCCCGTAGAACTAAATTGATGGGAGGCGAGGTACATTCAAACATCAGGGGAGAGCATGCTCTCCATTCCTCGACGGCCCACCATTACCCTCCTCTCACACTTCAAGATTATTTCGCTGCTGATCGGTAACCTCCAGGTCGAGTCGCCGGGACCTCCGCTGCAACATCGTTCAAAGCATTTTCTCGGGTCCTCGTGGTGTTCACAACGGGTCCAACATTTGACGGAGGG